TCGCTTCATCCAAAATTCACACTTGGAGAACTTGGCGTAAAGCTTTTCTCGCTTAAGGGTTCCGAGAACAACCCCTCAGATGTTGCTCATGCTCCTCCAAACTCCTGGAGTAGACCAAAATGTCATCAATAAAGACGATAACAAATCGGTCTAAATACTGATGGAACACTCGATTCATCAAGTCCATGAACACCGTTGGCGCATTGCTCAGACCAAACGGCATAACCACGAACTCGTAGTGTCCATATCTCATCCGGAAAGTAGTCTTGGCTACATCGGACTTCTTAATCTTCAGCTAATGATAGCCGGAGCGTAAATCGATCTTGGAAAATACGCGGGCTCCTCTCAGCTGGTCAAACAAATCGTCTATCCTGGGGAGCAGATACTTATTCTTCACCGTTAACCGGTTGAGATCCCGGTAATCGATGCACATTCTCATGGATCCGTCTTTCTTCTTGACGAATAGGACGGGTGCTCCCCAAGGTGAGACGCTGGGTCTGATATACCCAAGTTTCAACAACTCTTCGATCTGTGTCTTCAGCTCCTGCAACTCCTTCGGAGCCATACGGTAAGGTGCCTTAGACACCGGTCCTGCTCCTGGAACAAGGTCGATGGTGAACTCCACCTGCCTGCTGGGTGGTCCTCCTGGTAGCTGATCCAGGAACACATCCACGAACTCACGAACCACAGGAACGTCGTGAGGTGTCTGTGCTCTCGATCCTTCATCGACAAGGCTCACCAGGTAGCCCTGACAATCTTCTCTGCGCAGAATCTTCCTCGCCTTCGCCATCGATACAACACGAGGTAGGGTTCGCGTCTTCGAGCCAAAAAATTGATCTAACTGTCCTTTAGACGCTCGATAACGCATCAACCAATCCATACCGAGAATGAGGTTGAAATCCCTCATCTCGATAACATAAGCTTCGGCCTTCAGGATTCGGCCGCCAATACTAAGGTTAAGGTCCTCGGCCTTGGAGCTCGTCACTATCTTCCTTTCCGAGGCTAGACTCACCTCGAGAGGGTCAACAGTTTTGATGGGCTGAACTCCAATGGCCTCTACACATCGAGTCGACACAAAAGAGTGCGTCGCACCAGTGTCGAACAGAGCAAATATAGGTACATCATTCAAAACAATCATTCCAGACATAGTACCTGGGTTCTGCTCTGCCTCAGCCTGCTCAACTACATACACCTGAGCCTGCTGTCCTCGACTCTGCTGCTGAGGCGGCCTCTGCTGCTGCGGCGGCTGCTGTCGGGGCTGCTGCTGCTGCTGCCTATCCGGACAGTTTCGGACGGTATGTCCGGGCCTCCGATAGTGAAAGCAGACGTTCTGCCCAGCAAGACACTCTCCGCGGTGTGGGCGTCCGCATGTGCCACATGCTGGAACCTGTGGCTGTCTCTGCCTGTTCCTCCGGTCATTCTGCCGACCCTTCCACTTTTTCTTGTTCTTAGCCTTCGCCTGCTGGACAGGCGCTGGCTGAGCTGGGGGTAGCACTGGGGGCTGAACTGAGTCCATCCTGAGACTGGCGTCTGTCTCCTGGGCCTTAGGGACGACATCGGCGTATGACTGGACGCCGTGTCCTGCAACATGGTGACGGATAGCTGGCAGAAGCCCGTCACGAAAACGTCTGGCCTTCTTCGTCTCAGTGTCCACCATATAAGGGACAAAGGACCCGAGACGAACAAACTCCCGCTCGTACTCATCTACCGAGCGGTGGCCCTGCTTAAGCGCAAGAACTGACGCTCCATCTCAGCCTTGTAAGTATCCGGGTAATACTTCTCCCGAAGCATCTCCTTGAACTGTGCCCATGTGAGGTTCTCCTTCTCACCAGGGCGCAAGCCCCAGTAGGAGTTCCACCACAGCCTGGCGTCTCCTGTCACTTAGACCTGGGCACACAGAATGATGTGCCTCTCGGAGCACTCGATGATCTCGAAAATGGCCTCGAGACCCTAGATCCACTCATCAACTAGGCGAGGGTCTCCCTGCCCCAAAAACTTGTCTGGGTTGTAGCCGTGAAACTGGGCGACTACCTCAGCCTGGGTCATCTCTCTCTGAGCTTGGTTCTGACGACGGGCCATCTGAAAGGAAACGCTGAATACTGGAATAGGCACAAATTTCTTGACGAGTTGCTGAAAATAACTCGATAATCTAGAGTTCGACTAGAGTCGAATCTAGAGTTCTGAATTCTGATAGAGGACATATCTGATACTGCTAGGAGTCTTATACTAATCTGAGCATCTAGAGTTCGAATTATCTGAATCCTATTGAGCATAGACATAGTACAGTTTGCTTATATAAACTCTGAAAAACTTTTACAGCATGCACTTACCTGGTAGTCGGCGCGGCGTGAGTGTGGTGTGGTCGAGTTTTGCAAAAATTCTCTGTCTTTTAAAACATCTAGAAGCACAAAAGTGCTCTGATACCAACTGCAACACCCCGCTACTTAGGGCAAATTTTTTGCAAATTTGCACTCTTTCGGAAACTGTTTATAAATTTTTCGAAATCATTTGCAAACTTTCTCAGGATGCTGCAAAGGACTTTTATGCTTAAAAACCCATTTCTTTAACCTAGGTGTAACGTCTGGTTTAGACTTAAAGAAATCAGATTCATATTTTTAACGAATCATGCATATTAGTTTGGACTCGTTCGTACTGGCGAACCGGGTAAAATTATTTAAGTCTGTAAATAAAGTCATGAATGTTCGTAAGTAAACACAACATAGCGGAAGTCTAAAGTGCGTGGAATTATTTAGTTATACAAAACGATAACAAATGTCCCGGGAACAGCTTTCGTGCGGAACTCACGACCACCACCACCACAGCTCATCTCACGCCTGCCCTCCGACCCTGCCATCTGAAAATATAATGTGGGGGTGAGTACGTGTAACACCCCGCTCATCAGAGTAAATTGTTTGCAACTTTTACTTCGAAAATACTTGTAACTCTTTCGAAATCTTTTGCGACCAACTCGGGATGCTACTCAAACTCATCTTTTCTGGAAATCCGTTTATCTTTAAACTTTGTCTAATACTTCTTTAGACATAAAGAAAGCAGATTTAATTAAACTTGCATTTAACTATATAATATTCATACTTCTGAAATGATAAAAACTTAAAATCTGAAATTTATTTGAATGCAAGTTCAAGTCTCAATATGCGTAGCGGCAATACTTAAAAACGTGAATAATTATACAGACATATCAAATTCATAATAAATGTCCACTTAAAGAAGTGCACGACCACCACCATCACTTCTTGAGCTCACACCTCCAGCCCGACCCTGTTACCTGAAAAACACAATGGGGGTGAGTACTGATCCTCTTGTACCCCGCAATCACCCATACTAAAGTAAACAACAATGATAATATAATATCATGATCTTTGGTATATATCTTGACTGGAAATCTATTCCAGTAAATTAAACTGAATCTGGCCGATATCTAATCGGATACTTGTGCACAATCTGATGGATATTTCTCAAGGCAACTCAAACGGCCTCCATCAGAACTTAGGATATACTCTGAGACAACTGAATGCCTCCTCATTCAAAGCGTATAAACTTAAACTGTATACATACCTCGAACATGATATCAATATTATACTCAATGTAATACCCAGTCTGGGTCCCCACCTTTCTTCTTTTGAAACTTTGAAAAGCGTAAGTGTTGTTCTTTGGTAGCTAACTCCTCAAGCTACATAACAATATAAACAAATATACTAAGTATTATGCTCGTATACTCAATAATATGCTGGGATTCTTAACTCTACCAGATAACTTATCCGAATCTTAAAGATATTCATTAAACATGCTATTGCTCAAATGAATACTAAATCATTGAAAAACCAAACTTTTCTTAAACTTTTACTCAAGGTCAAATACTTAACCCATATAAATCATATCTTTCAAAATCTTAGATATTGGCTTATACTCGCATGTCACTTAAATAACTCGTATGTGAAAATAACCTAAATTTCACATTAGACTTAATTGAATACATGAACTCAAAACATGCTCAACTTTTACCAATATCATATACATGATTTATACGGATTTTTAATCTATCAAACTTGTCTTAAACTTGCTTGATATTAAAATCTCAAACTTGATGCTCATTCAATACACGTTTTTATCATAACAATAAATTATGATATTGATATACTAGACTTGAAACAATTTTATAAAATCACATACTCAACATATTGAGCTGAAACTTGGTCAAATTGCTCATCACTCATATAAGAATTTTTCCTAAAAATTCCATTTTAAAAACTCAACCATGTACTGAATACTCTTGCATATAAAATCATCTTGACATGTATGCCATATAAATATTTTAACTCGTTCATTTCTTAACATAAAATCATGAAATTTGGCAGTCATGTTCTTAACCAATATATAAGCATGTCGTAAAAATTTCATAATTTTATCATGCGTATATATCGAGTTATTAAAATTTTAAAGTCACAGCTGAAATAAAGAACATAAAATTCAACTTGCATGCTTAACTTCAAAAATTTATACCTCAAGCTATACTATGCCAAATGACATAATTCTTTCACCTATATACTCAGCACTTACTCAAGAAATATCCATAAGGCCTAATTGCTGGAAAAAGCACGACCTTACAACTTTTTGCAGTTTTAACCAAACTTTTGGAATTTAGCACGAAAAACCTAACCTTGTGTAATGTTTGCAACCCGAACCCAAAATGAAACGGCCGTCTCATTTTTGCCACCGTGTCCGTTAGCTTTACCTATGTGGCCAAACGTGCTGCTGACGTGGTAAACCACTATAAACCAGTATAAATACACGCATTTTCCCCCAAATCAAACCCGACCTAATGTTCTTCCTCAAAATCAAACCCTAATTTCGAAGATTTTTTCCCAAAATCCAGCAGCTTCATCACTCTATCGTGTTCTTCCCCAAAATCCAGTAGCTTCATCCCAATTTAGTCGTACAAGTATCAACATCCATTGAACCCTAATTTTCGATCGTGTTTTTCACGATTTTGCAGCTTCGATCCGTGTTCTTCCCCAAATTGTTGCCCTAATTTCGCAGCTCCATCCTCTGAAAATGTCGTACGCGTCTCGTACAAGCCCTAATTCGCAACATAGCGCTTCATCCAATATCCCCGTGCGGAGGCTGTGCGGCTGTTTGGATGAGGCCGATGTTTTCACCTCTGGCACTGACGACAATCCATGTCGGAGGTTTTACAGGTGTCCAAATAGAAAGGTAGTTTATTATTGTATTTTGTTCTGCAATTTTACGGCAATTTTGTTCAGAATGGGTGGATACACATATGGTTTTTAACCAAACTTTTTGGAACAGGTAAAAGATTGTGGTTTGTTTGATCGGCTTGATCCCGCATTGCCTGAGTTCCAAAGGACATGCTTCATCAGATTGAAGGCTGAAAAAAAGGCTTTAGAAGAAAAGTTACCGGCCATGGAAAAACAGCACAATGATAGGTCGGGTGTGAAAGAAGTAAGCTTGTCTTCACTTGAGGAGCTTGAAAACAAAGTGGCAGGGCTTGAGGTTGATGGTCACAAGAATGCTGAAGTACTTATGGTTCTTGAAAACAAAGTGGCAGGGCTTGAGGTTGATGGTCACAAGAATGCTGAAGCACTTATGGTTCTTGAAAACAAAGTGACAGGGCTTGAGGTTGATGGTCACAAGAATGCTGAAGTACTTTTGGTTCTTGAGAAGACCTTAACTCAAGTAAAAAACCTTGAAAGGAAAATGTATGTATTGATGATTGGTTTCATTGTTGTTGTTATGGTTGTTGTGATGGTGTTTGGTAGAAATGGGTATGTCCATTAGCTGAAGATGAACTGATGTGTTTGGTAAAAATGGCTATGATCTTGTTGTGATTGTGATTGTTGTTGTTATGGTTCTTGTTGTGATTGTGTTTTGGTAGAATTATGTTTGGTTGATATATGTAATGGAATTGAAAACCTTTTGCACGAATGTATTATTATTACAAGAATTATCTTATTTCTGTTATTGTGCATATTATTATTACAAGAAATGAAAGCCTATGCATATTTATGTTACAAGAATTGACATGGCATAATATCACATGAATTCCAAAGAACACTTCCTTTTCAATAAACAGAGCACATTCAAAGAACAAAACACTTCATTTAAGTGATTTTCACATAACGACACACATAAATATCCCATAACACATCCAGATCCCACAAAACTCAAAAACACATCCAAAAGATCAGTTCAAACTACTGAGTCTCCACACACAAAACTAACACACCCCAAAAATAGCAAAATCAGTTTAATGGTACCACATCAGTTCAACAATACTACATCTCAATTTCCAGCCTCACTCTCTTGAGTGCATATGAAGTCCCCTGTACTTTGCCCTCTTCCTCTTCCTCTTCCTCTAGCAGTGGTAGACCCACTACTTTGCCCTCTTCCGCTTCCTCTAGCAGTGGTAGACCCACTCCTCTGCCCTCTTCCTCTTCCTCTACCAGTGGTTGACCCACTGCTTTGCCCTCTGGTTGTGCCACTGCTTTGGCCTGTTTCTCTAGCAGTGTTTGAAATCACATGAATCTTTTTTGTAGATGACAACTGCATTATATTATACAATAATTACCCCATATGTTAGACAATAAATATATTATATTATATTATATTTCAGAAATAGTGAATTCTTATAAAAAACCATACCTTCATGTAAACATTACCAGTTTCCTCAGATTGCAAGATACCAAAACCTTTCCTTGCCTGCCAAACAAATGAACAAAATCGTTGAGTTGTCTAGTATTGGTACCAATTTTAGAAAATTTCCATATAAAAGTACTACCAAGGCTCTTTCTTTTTGTATGACTGATGAGCGTTGACTGCACCTCCTAACCGGCAGATTATTTATCTTCTCAACAGACCGGGTTGTCATCCTCTGAACTGGTGGTCTTGTCAGCCTCTCAACTGGTGGGCTTGTCATTGTCTCAGATGGTGGGCTTGTCATGGTCTCAGTTTGGGGTGGTTGAACCACAGTGTGGGGTGCAGTATGCTGTCTGGGCCTTCCTCTTGGGTTCTGTACAAAGAAAATTACCATGATTAAAGAATGTAAAGAAATAAATAATTAAAACTTAGTACTATGAATGAATAGAAATTTAAACCACAGTGTGGGGTGCAGTATGCTTTCTAGGCCTTCCCTTTGGCTTCTGTACAAAGAAAAATGACAATGATTAAAGAATGTAAAGAAATAAATAACAAAATCTTAGTACTATGAATGAATATAAATTTAAACCTTAGCAGGTTTCTCAACTTCAGGCAGGATGCATGATTTCTTGTTATGCCCCTTTTGCAAACACCTTTGACATGTCATAATCAGCCCAAACCTTCTCAACTTGCCTACACTTCTGGCTTCTTCCTCAGGAGCCCTTCTTCTTTTTTTCTTAGGTCTTCCAGGCATCTTCTTGAAAGGAGGGGGTAAGATTGGATAACCCTCTGCAGCTGGCCACATTTTTTTTCCATTTATGGGCTCCAATGAGGTGTTATACATACTCAAGTACCTCTCAGTATAGAAATACTCAGACACAAAGTCTGCAGGATCTTTATGCAGAAAGTGTATTGCTGAGCAAGCATGCACACAAGGTATCCCTGTTATATCCCATTGTCTACAAGTACATGTATTATTCCTCAAATCCACCACAAACTGATCAACTTCTAAAGCAACCTGAAACCTATCACCAACTGCAGGCTTTGTGACACACACTCTTGACAAATATTTGTTCTGTTCTACCTTTGATCTTATTCTAGGACAAAGCTTGTCAGGATGTCCACTCAACTCCATCAATTTCCCATGTTGTCTATTCATTAGTTCAGTCCTTACAAATTCAAGCATCTCAATGATGTGGCTTCCTCTTCCCTTAACTATAAACCCATTGAAAGTCTCACTAACATTATTTTCTATCATATCACACCTAGGAAGAGAAGAGACAAAAGCCTTACAAAACTTTGAAGGATCTTTCTTGATAAATTCTTCATAAGCTTCTTTGCATTCTGCCTTCAAGTCCTCCAAAGCAATGTTGTTGTCTCCAAGGTGAGTGCTTAGAACAATTCTCCAGAACAAATTTTTCAAAGTTTGCCCCTTGAATTGCTTCTTCCAGTTCATGTAGACATGTCGAGCACAATTTCTGTGCTCAGCATTTGGAGCCAAGTCCCTCAGAGCATTCAACAAACCCTACAAACAAAAAATTATTTAGAACATGCTAATGTTTGAAATTAAGAACAAAAACTCAAAATTGCACAGAATATTAACCTTTTGTTGGTCTGAAATGAAAGTATATCCTAAGCTATCCCTTATACCCACTTCTGCAAACAAAATTGAGAGAAACCACTTCCAACACTCTTCATTTTCAGCCTCAACCACAGCCCAAGCCACTGGATAAATTTGATTGTTACCATCTTTGGCAATGGCACATAACAAGGCTCCTCCTAAGAAAGTTTTCAAAAAACATCCATCAAATCCAAGGATGGGTCTGCAGCCATTGGCGAATCCCTTTCTTAGAGCACTAAAACCCACATAAAAGCCTCTTAATGTGGTATTTTCCCCAAGTAAGAACTCAAACCTGCCCTCTCTATCCACCCTCATCAACTCAGCCATATAACTTCTCAGAAAGGAGTAATGTTCTATGACAGAACCTCTAAGCATTTCAAGTGCTTTCCACTTTGCTCTATAAAGTTTCCATTTTGTAGGTACAACTGCAAACTTTTCCGAAATTGCTTCTTCCAATTGTGCAACTGTCATGTTTGGATTCCTTCTGAATTTTTCACCAAACTCTTCAGCAATCCACTGAGCAGTGAGTTGTCTAGTGTGCACATTCCTATGACAGACATGATCTTTATGCAGTTGTTTTATAGCCACACTACCTTCTCTTTCAATCACACTGGCATAAAGTCTCCAAGGGCAGCCATCTTGACATCTAGCTTCCAATTGCCTTTTGTTACACCTCATATTCTGAATATCTCTACCTTGCACAATTGCCACCCTTCTCACGGCTCTCTTGCACTGATCAATGGTTTCAAACCTCATGCCAAGCTGAAACTCAAGTGAATTATGATCACACTTGGGATCATACAATAACCTTGTCCTCTTTTTAACAAAATTCCCTTCCAAATCCATTTCTCTATCACTATCTGACTCATCAGAGATTAGTGCATTATGTAACAATTCATCCTCTTCAAAGTCCATCTCAGCTGTGGCCATTGGATGTGTATAGCCTGCATCATCATCCCAATCTTGAACTTTTTTCCTAGACTCCTTTAAGTTCTTTCTTGCCTGAACATATTCATCATCATCAGAAAGATGATCATCAGAAAGGTCATCATCTGATGAACTCACCCCAGTTGGAAAATAATCTTCATCATCAGATGACTCTTGTGACCCCAACCCAGCACATGCATTATTAGTTTCTGCATCACCTTCACCATGTTCAACAGAAGTGAAGTTGTCAATAATATCATTAATATCCTCCAACTGGTCTGCAGGCTCTTCCTCAATTGATGCCTCAGCCTGACTCAAACCATTCACCTCTTCCCCATCATCAGTATCTTGCTGGCTAGAAGATTTTGTCTGGAATGATGCCTCAACATTCTCATCTGCTTCATCATCAATAATGTCACCACCAACCACATAAATCTGAACTATAGTTTTGTTATTCTTACCACAACTAATAATCTCCATAACCCCTTTATCATCAATTACATCTCTCAAACTATCAGCTCCAACACCAGCATTGGGTATTCTATACACAATTTTTTCATACTTGTTAACTCCCAACTTCTTAATTTCTTCTTGTAGGTCAAAGTAGCCAAATCTATCAGCATCTAACCCATAAATACTCTTTAAACTACCACATATATACTCCACAACAGGTCCACAGTTCACAAAATAACCTCCAATATTGACAATCAATGCAAATTTGTCTCTGCAATTAATTAAACATAGAAAAAAAATCAATAACAATTTTATAATTAGCCTCAATTCTAACATAACCCTAATTCTGTCATAACCCTAATTTAAATATGATTTACAATAACAAAAAACTGTAAGCAATTTGAAATTGTTCGAAACCCTAATTTCAAAATGAATGTACAATAAATAAACTGTAACCAATTCAAAATTGTTCGAAACCCTAATCTTGATCAACCCTAATTTTAAAATAAAACCCTAATTTGAAGAGAAACCCTAAATTGACAAACAAATTTTCATTCTTTCGAAACAAAATTAACACTGGATCACTAATTAATATAAAATTAACACTGGATTAAAAATTCACAAACAAACAAAATGTTCCCAGCAAATTTCGAATTCCAACGATGACTTTGAATTTCCAAATTTCGACAACAAATAAAAAAAATGAAGGATTGGCATAACTGTCGGTCATATTCGCTTCAATGGGACCGCAATTTGTGCGTTTCGACGACAAGATTGTGAGCTTCGACAACAATGGGACCACAATGTTTTCAAAGAGAGAAAAAAAAAATTTCGAAGTCTGAAAGTCATGAAAATGGGAAATCGAGTTTGATTTGGGGGAAAATGCGTGTATTTATACTGGTTTATAGTGGGTTACCACGTCAGCAACACGTTTGGCCACATAGGTAAAGCTAACGGACACGGTGGCAAAAATGAGACGGCCGTTTCATTTTGGGTTCGGGTTGCAAACATTAGACAAGGTTAGGTTTTTCGTGCTAAATTCCAAAAGTTTGGTTAAAACTGCAAAAAGTTGTAAGGTCGTGCTTTTTTCGGCAATTAGGCCTATCCATAATAAGCTTAACATGCCAGGTTATGCGTATCATGCTCAAATTCAAATCAAAACAGTACATATATAACATGTGATTGTGCTGGAAACAACTTATCATTTTTTTTTTTCATGCTTAAAATTTCTTTAAAAATTGAATCTATATATATGGCATGAAAATACATCAATATTCACTTAATATAAACTATAACATATGATAAAAAGGTAGCATCTAACCTTCTTCAAGAAATTTGAAAATGAAACTTCGGAAGTTGACCTCAACTTATCTTCGTCAAGATTTCTCTCGATTTATCTCTCTTTCTTACCCTCTATAGCTAAGACTTTGCTTATTATGATGTGAATTTCGAGCCTATGCTGATGCTCCTTTATATAGGGTAGCAAAGGAGACAACATCACCTTCTTTACATCAACACTCCATCATAATAAACACCATAGGCCCCTTATCATTAATGTTTTTCTAAAATCTTGCACAAAGATGATTAAGCCTTGATAAGTACTTGTAATGCATGATTTATCTTGCATATATCAAGACAAACCTTCTCCCTTTGACCATGCCTCGAAATTAAGCTAAAATGGCTCATTTATCCCTTAAAAATACTTAGAAAAATTTTATAAAAATAAATAAAGATAAAGAATGGAAATCATAACTTGTAAACATAACAAATCTATAGTCAATACTTAGAAAGGCCCATCATGTGATCCTAATCTGATTTCCATGATAAAATTCGTGACTTAATGAAAAATTTCCAATTTACAGAACCGAATTCTGACTTAAAATGAACGGTTACCGAAAAATCGAACATTCTAAAAATTTCAGATTTCCATCTTTTGCTTTTGGCCTTTTTCCTTTTTATGCTGAAAAATTTTAATTCTTATTAATGATCTTGGAACTTGTAAAAAATACAAGAAAATAAATTTTTCGGAAACGAAATCGGACTTAATTATCGACTACAACCGAACATTGAAAAAAAACTTGAAACTTGCGAATATAATTTCGAATATACTCTTAATAATATAAATAGACCTTCTTGTCTAAATAATTTCTACTTAATCCTTATAACTTATCAATCAAATCATATAAGTCACATAAAATACTTAGGCAATTTATAACATTTACTCGACTAACTCAATTTAATGAAAAACGATTCCGATTTAACTTTAATGTCGAGCCAACTGAAAAATAAAATTCTAAGAGATTTCTTAAGGCTTGGAAATATAAAAGATCATTATTAATAAAAGTAAAATAGTTCTAACTTAGAACTGAAATAATTACTTTTATTAATTACTGAATGGGATATTACAATCTACCCCTCTTAAAATTATTTCCGCCCTCGGAAATACTAAAACTGAGATACATACCTTCTGAGTACATATCAAAACTCAAAATCTGGAAAACGAGCTCTAATATCAGCCTCCCGCTCTCAAGTGGCATTTGACTCTCCGTGGCGATTCCATCTAATACGAACGAGGGGAATATCTCGATTCCTGAGCCGATGAACCTTTCGGTCCAAAACTGCTACTGGCTGCTCCTCATAAATTAAATCAGGCTGAATCTGAATCTCATTGTGCTGAAGCACATGCTCTGGATCGCACACGTATGCACGTAACATCGATACGTGAAAACATTATGCACACTTGACAACTTGGGAGGTAAAGCTAAGCGATAAGATACTTCTCCAACTCGCTCCAGAACTTCAAATGGACCTATATAACGAGGATGCAACTTGCTTCTCTTCCCGAAACGAACGACACCTCGCATCGGTCGAACTTTCAAGAATACTTTATCTCCAACTTCAAACTGCATCTCCCTTCTGTGCTTATCGGCTGAAGACTTTTGACGACTCTGAGCAGTCTTTAGCCTTTCTCGAATCCAGGCTACTTGCTCAACTGTCTCTTCTATCATCTTCGGACCAAGGACTCGTCTCTCCCCAACATCATCCCTATAAAGACGCGAACGACACCTACGACCATAAAGTGCTTCATACGGAGCCATAAGAATTGATGTGTGGTAACTATTATTGTAAGCAAACTCTACTAATGGTAACCACTTCTCCCACTTGGCACCTCTATCCAAAATACAAGCTCTGAGCATATCCTCGAGCGTCTGGATAGTCCTTTCTGATTGGCCATCAGTCTCTGGGTGATAAGCCGATCTAAACTTCAATTTAGTGCCCATTGCCTCATGCAAACTCTCCCAAAATCTACTAGTGAATCTGGGATCTCGATCTGATATGATCGTAACAGGCACTCCATGGAGTCGAATGATTCCACTAGTATAAATCTCGGCTAACTGGTCCATTGACATGGTCATTATTACAGGCATAAAGTGTGCGACTTTCGTCAATCTGTCCACTACTACCCAAATCGCATCATGATGCTTAGACGACTTAGGTAGCCCTGTAACAAAGTCCATGGTAACTTCTTCCCATTTCCACTTTGGAATTTCAAGTGGTTGTAACAGACCTAATGGACTCTTGTGCTTGGCCTTAACTTGCTGACAGACCAAACACTTCTTTACAAAGTCTGCTACATCTCTCTTCATCCCTTTCCACCAAAACGACTTTTTCAAATCGTGATACATTTTGGTGCTTCCAGGGTGAGCTAAATAAGGCGCACTGTGTGCTTCTGTCAAGATCTCCTTTCGCAAGGAGTTGACTTTTGGCACAGCAATCCTGCCTCTGAACTCTAAGGCTCCATCTGTTCCTTGGTAAAAGCCTTCTACTCCTCCGGTATGATCTTGTATCTTTCGAATAAATTGATCGAAAGTTTGCTCTCTCCGGATTCTATCTCTCAACATAGGTTGAATTCTCATCGAGTTAACACTTCTTGTAATCTCTTTAGGAAGTGACTCAACCACTTCAATTTGCATCTGGGCGAACTCTTTAATGAGTTGCTTCTGTTGAGATATACAACAAGACAACTCACCCTTCACCTTACGACTTAGGGCATCAGCTACAACATTCGCTTTTCCCGGATGATATTGAATAGTGCAATCATAATCTTTCACAAGCTCTAGCCATCTTCTTTGGCGCATGTTGAGCTCTTTCTGTGTGAAGATATATTGCAAACTCTTGTGATCAGTGAATATTTCACACCGGCCACCATACAGATAATGCCTCCAAATCTTGAGTGCTTGAACTACTGCTGCCAATTCTAGATCATGAGTTGGATAATTCTGCTCATGAGGCTTCAATTGTCGCGAAGCATATGCAACAACTTGACCATCTTGCATAAGTACACATCCAAGACCCTGCTTTGAAGCATCACTATAGATAGTGAAACTTCTAGTAGGATCTGGGATAATCAGTATTGGAGTCGTGGTAAGCTTCTTCTTAAGCTTTTGGAAAATCTCTTCACAACGATTTGCCCATTCAAACTTCACAGATTTTCTCGTTAGATTTGTCAAAGGGAGAGCAATCTTCGAAAACCCCTCGATAAATCTACGATAATAACCTGCCAATCCGAGAAAACTACGAACCTCCGAAGAATTCTTAGGTACTGACCAGTTCTGAACTGCTGCAATCTTTGTAGGATCAACTTCTATGCCTCTTTCTGTGATAATATGGCCTAAAAACGCCACTTTCTTTAGCCAAAACTCACACTTTGAGAACTTGGCATATAACTTCTCTCATCTTAGGGTACCAAGAACAACCCTTAGATTTTGCTCATGTTCTTCCATACTATTGGAATATACCAAAATATCATCAATAAAGACGATAACAAATTGATCTAAATACTGATGGAATACACGGTTCATTAAATCCATGCACACCGCTAGTGCATTGGTTACTCCAAATGGCATAACCACGAACTCATAATGTCCATATCTTGTTCGAAACGCAGTCTTGGCTACGTCAGATTCTTTAATCTTCAGTTGATGATAGCCTGAACGTAAATCTATCTCAGAAAATACGCAAGCTCCTCTCAACTGATCGAACAAATCATCTATCCTTGGGAGTGGATACTTGTTCTTCATCGTTAATCGATTTAAATCCCGATAATCGATACACATCCTCATGGATCCATCCTTCTTCTTGACAAATAGAACAGGTGCTCCCCAAGGGGAAACACTCGGTCTGATGAAACCAAGCTTCAACAACTCCTGGATTTGAGTCTTCAACTCTTGTAACTCCTTCGGTGCCATTCTATATGGGGCCTTCGACACTGGTGCTGCTCCTGGAACAAGACCAATTGTGAACTCCACTTGTCTGTTGGGTGGTCCTCCGGGTAATTGATTCGGAAAAATAT